TGAAATTGGCTGCAAAAATTTGCTGATAACTTCAGCGTTCAGAGGCGGTGCGTCGTCTTGCTGGAAAAATATGTTTTTCGGGTTCCATTAAGGGCATTTCATCAATAAGGGGTCCAAAGCCTACTAGTTAAAAGTGGCGAACTTTTAAAAATTCTGTATTTTGAAGGGGATTATAACAAAATATCAAGTGTGGTATATTTTTGGAAAGGTAATTTTAAATTCTTTTCAATAAATTAAAAATATAGAGGGTGTCCCAAATAAAAAATCAATTTTTCTGTTGATAAATCTTAAATTATTAATTTAAAAAAAATTATACTTAAACCATTAAATTCTACGTAAAAAGGTGCTTTGGAAATGTTTCATAAAAATACAAAATTTTTAAAAACACCCCGTAACTCCGAAACGGTACCAGATATTGATGTGCGGTTTTCACCATCATGTTTTTGATGAAAATTGAGCTCCAGACACCGATATTAGTTTTCGTCTATCTCCTATAGAAAAGGGTGTTTCCATTTAAAAGCGTCGAATTTGACCCACCCTGTACACTCAACTTACCAAACTAAAAATTCTCAATTCTTAGATCTTTATTCTTATTTAAGCCCTATGCGTCCCGTAATAATAAAGGAAAAAATGAAATGATTTTACGAAAAAAAACTTTATTTTTTTTTATTTGTATTTTCAGTTGCCTTTTTTCCAAACAAATGTGTTTTTATAAATACGTTTCTATTTTAATTAATTTTTTACATAAAACTATAACAATGTTGTCAATAATCCTAGTTGTCTATAAAGAAAAAAAGTATAAAGGCGGCTTTATGTCGTAGAAGTAAGCTAATTAAAATGTGCCGCTATGCAAAGTGTTTTTCGTTGTTTCCACTTTATTTCATGCATATACAGACAAGCACATAGGTACCTTTTATGTTAATATGAATATCGCTGAAAACATGTTGATATAGTAAACACGTCTTTTTCTAACGTTTATGAAGTATATATTTCTAAATAAATGTTTTCATATAACGGTTTGCGTATGCTGTAATTAAATTTTTGCTTTTATAATGAAGGCAAGTGTTTTTTTTATAAAACATACTTTACCGGTAATATGTTTAGTAACCTAATTAAAAATATCAATCTTTTTTTTTAAATAATTGGGTAAAATTAATATTTAATATTTTTGATATAGCTACTCAATATGTCTACTAATTACTCAAAAATAATATAAGTTTCTTTATAATACCACTAGCATGTACCAGCGACTTCGTTCGTGTAGAATTAATAATTTGATTAATTTGTAATAGTGATAATAAAGCAAAGCAAAAATTTCCATTAACATACAAACTGGATAAAATTTTCTCACATTTATGACGGCATGAGAAAAATCAATATGGCGATATTATTATATAACTACTAACGGTAATATTTGAGAGGTAGTTTCATCTCGTTGGAATTTGACTTTCGAAAAATCCGTTTGCCAAAAATAAGCTTTTTACGTCAAGCAGTTTAAGGAGAATCGTGGTTAAGAAATTACCCAACTTTTTGGAACATCCTGTACGATCTTTTAAAAAATCTTAAAATATGTAAAAAACCAAATAAATTATGCTTGTCCAAGCGTTTTCCCGAAAGACTAACCGTTTTTGAAATAACAAATATTGTAATATTTGAGGGGCGTTTTCACCCTCTTGGAATCTGAGATTCGAGAAACCTCTCCCTTATCGAACCTCTACACCCCACAGTGAATCCGGTTGCCAAAAATCAGCTTTAAACGTCAAGCAGTTTAAGCAGAATCGTGATTACTCAATGGTCATATTTTATGAAACACCCTGTATAAATTTATAAAAAATCTTGAAATGTGTAAAACAACAAAATAAAATATACGTGTTTAAGAGTTTTTCCGAAAAACTCACTGGTTTTTAAATAAAAAATATTTTAAAATTTGAGGGATAGTTTCACCCCCTTAGAATTCGAGTTTCGAAAAATCCCTTCTTATCGAACCTCTACACCCTAAAGTCATTCTGTTTTCCAAAAATCAGCTTTTCACGTCAAGCGCTTTAAGCAGGATCGTGATTAATCAATGACCAGATTTTTCGAAACACCCTGTATACATTTTTAAAAAATCTTAAAATATGTAAAAAACCAAAATAAAATATACGTGTTTAAGCGTTTTTTTCGGAAACTTGACCGTTTTTTAAATAAAAAATATTGTAATATTGGAGGGGTGGTTTCACCCTCTTGGAACTGGAATTTCGAAAAATCCCTTCTTATCGAACCTCTACACCCTAGAATCAACCTGTATGCCAAAATTGAGCTTCTTACGTTGAGTGGTTTGAGCAGGATCGTGATTAATCAGTATGCCAGTCACTAAAGGATTTTATAATTATTATAGATTATCTTTATACAGGGTGCTAGAAATTTGAGGTATGAGCATCTGTATCTCGGAAACCAAAATATATACGAACATGGTAAATACGGGGTAAAGTTGCGCCTTGGAATGTTCGCCAACATGCTACAAAAAAAGTTTCAAAATTTTCAAGGATTGCTGAGTTTTTAGAAAATAACTGTTTTTTGGAAAATCAATTTTATTTTTTTCCTGTTACTGTTGAGAAAATCGAAAAACGAATTGCATATTCTCATAGCCACTTTATCAGGGCTATTTAATCGTATTTTTAAAATTTCAAATTAGCTAATAGTTCCTAAGGTGCATAGACGAACTTGCATTTTTTCTTTCAGGTTTAGAAAAAAATCAGTCTCCTGAGTACAACGATATGACACACTTATTTTTGTTTTGTTTTGGACACTTTAACTTTAACAACACTATTTAAACTAATTTCAAGTCCGGCTCTCGTTTTTTAAATTATTTAGCCTAATTAATATTGTTAGGATTATAATAATCCTAACAATATTAATGAGCGCTAATTATCATTGAATAAGGAAAATTACTAATTAATAATACTAATAAAATTACTACCCTATAACTAAGACTTCGCTGTCCGTCCGTCCGTCGGTCTGTCAGAAAGGTCTATCTTATGAACCGTTATAGCTAGACAGTTGAAATTTTTACTGATAATGTATCTATGTTGCCACTATAAGAACAAGTACTAAAAACAGAATTAAATAAATATTTATAAATAAAAAAGTACTTTCCCTAAACATTATCTTTTAATTAAGAATTTTACACATTTTTACAAGCGTTTGGACTTTGCGCTGCTATGACGTTGGAGCCGTAGGTAGTAAGGCAGGTTCGAATCCTAGTCAAGGCGACTTTTTTTAATGTTTTTTTTTTAATTTTTACATATTTTTTAATATTTCTTTTTACTTTTTACATATTTATTATTGATTAATACAATTTTTAGTAATGTGTTTCTTCATTTTTTTTTAAATTATTATAGGCGCATTAAAAATTTCAGCTAAATCGGAAAAAAAGTTTATAATAATATAGTGTCTAATGTTGTATAGATAATGAATGGTACGGAACCCTTCGTGCGCGAGTCCGACTCGCACTTGACCAATTTTTTTTTCTGATTGCTCCTCTATTGCAATTCGAAGACTGAAATAAACATTTTTATCTTATGAAAATGTTTGTTTTTCGATATTAAGCAGTAGTAAGTACTACACCGACAAATGAGCTGTTATTTTCAAATAAAAATATCGAAAAAAAATTAAGTAAGGAATCACTTGTTGAAGTTTGTCCATGTTCTATTGAACCGTCCTATAGATTTATAGGTATAGTTTATCTGAAATCAGTTTGAATAGATGGGAAATCTTAATTTCGGCACTGTCTTTCTCGGCGCCTTTGTCGGCATCGTCGCGTCGGGTCTAAGGAATTCGAATCTCACTACTTCCATTGGACTTCGGAAATACTAAACAATTATATTTTGTGCGGCTCAAATGCAGCAGAAGGATTATGTCCTTTGAGCTTTTCCAATACCCACGAATTTTTCTATACAGGGTGGTCCGAACTGTATTCCGGAAACTTCGGCAGCATATTCTGCAGATAAAAATAAGTAAACAAGTTCGTATAAATCTATATCCTAAAATGCTTAGTTTCGGAGATACAGGGTGTAGAAGTTTCATTTTTATTTCAATTTTTTCCAAATAATTTCTGAAGTAACGCCAATATTTGGATGAAAATTGGTGTCTGAGAGTTTTTTTTTTGACATGAGAAATTTGAGTTTGATGTCAATATGACTTCTACTAGTATAGGGCGCCACCTACATATTTGTTAACTGGTTTGCAGATAATTAACTTTTCGTTTGTACCTGTATAAAACTACTGAGTAAAGAAATATACATTTACGATGTTTTTTACATGAAAAAGGTCTCTTGGTAAAAATCGCTACGAGGAACCGTTCTCAAGATATTTAGAATGGAAATAGTCAATACATGTTATTATTGACAAAAAAATAAATATGTTTAGTAGATTGACTGAAATTATAAATTTGAGAACTTTTTATTTTTTTTAAATAATAATATATTTTTAAACAGTTTTTGTTGAACTTTTGACACAAAATAATTTCAAATTTATGATTTCAGTCTAATAACTATTTAGTCAACATGTTTAATTTATGTCAATGATGACAGGTATTGATAAATTCCATTCCAAATATCTCGAGAACCATTACTCGTAGCTATTTTTACCAAGAACCTTTTTTACGTAAAAAACGTCGTAAATTTTTATACTCAGTAAGTTTTATACAGGTACGGACGAAAAGTTATTACTCTTCAAACCAGTTAAAAAATATGTAGGTTGCGCCCTCTACAAATACGTAGGAGGCATATTGACTTCAAAATCAAATTTCTCATGTGAAAAAACCTCCAGACACCAATTTTCATCCAAACATTAACGTTACTACAGAAATTATTTGGAAAAAATTTGGAAATAAAAATGAAATTTCTACACTCTGTATCTCCGAAAAAAAGCAATTTAGGACATATATTTATACGAACTTTTTTACTTATTTTTATCTGCAGATACAGCAACAATAATCATAATTAATAATTTGTTTTCAGGGAGTTACCTATCAATCAACAATCTCGGCACCAAATCGGCCGTGTCTACACCTCGCTCCAACCGTGCGTACCCCTTAAGCCCCAAAGCAATCAATCCAATAGAGGAAACCTACGAATCGTCCGCGCCCAGCTTGAGCACTCTGGTGGCAGAAAAACCAGCAGATACGTACCAGCAGGAAGAACCCGCGCCATCCACACCACCACAACCCAAACCACGACCAAATCCGAAACCACAACCGCCTCAGAAACCAGTTGCCAGTCAGACTTTACCTCGAAACTTAAATTCGACCAAATTGACACCATCTAGGACCAAGTGGGCTATGGATAATGCCGAACAGTTACGCAGCCCGTCAGAGAAACGGAACTCTATTGCTGGAGATGCTCCATCTACTGAAGGTAAGCAGTATGTACGACAGTATATATGATATAGAAATTGCATCACCCAGTAAATGTAAATATACAGGGTGTCGCACCTCATTCGCCTCGGTTGATTATACGAAAACGGAAAGATGTGGAAACAAAATATTCTAGGGGTATATGTGGGGAGGCAATGTGGGCACAATTTAAAATTATTTTAAAATATACAGGGTGTTTCAAAACTGAGCTCCATACCAAAGTTATATTTTTTTCTTATGGAACACCCGGTATTTTATTTCAGTTTTGGATTCTTGGACCCAAAAAAGGTATTTACTATAAGGGTTAAATATGTTTAAAATCTTTGGTTTTTGATATATTTAGAGATATTTAAATATACATGCTGCAATAGAATAGATTATCAACACCCTGTACATTACTTTTCAGAATTAATTTTTGTGCTGAGTCTAAAGGTAGAGAAATAAACTTTAGTGAAAAATGTTATTACTTCCTTAAATTTATACAGGGGTACTAAAAATCTATTTTAAGGATTTATTTTACATAAAAACTTCGTTATTTCAAATACAATACCCTGTATTTTTTAATTAAATCTAAGCAGGTTCAAATGCTCTTTCAAACTATATTAGTTTGAAAGTACATTTTTCAATAAAATGGCAATCAAGAGGACTGGTATCGCCATGGCAATTTTCTAGTGACAGTAACTATTTTCAAAATCGACATAGTTTATGGATTTTTTTATTACTTAGGTTTATAACAGTGTACTTAAATTTACCCACAATAGTTTAATAAGTAAGTATTCATTATTTTATCAAGAAAAATAAAGCAGTATCTGCTGGCGGAACGAATGGTTATGCTACTAGTGATTTTATTTTGTGAGGAAAATTGCCTCTTAGCCTCAAGGGCCAAAAAACTGAAACAGGACTCTTCCTGATAAGCGTACATTTGAAAAACTACTTGTCCTATTTCACAGAGCTGGTAGTGTGGTTTATAAAAAAACCATTAGACAGAAACCTGTCGTTGGAAGTGAAGAAAATGAATTTGCCATAATTGGATCTTTTATAGAAAATCCATATATCTACAAGTCATCGTAAAATAACTCAAAAAACTAGTTCTTCGTTTTTCTTGATAGTGTAGCGTTTTTTTTAACATTACCACTGCGAACGGCAGCTTTTCGTTGGTAGAGCAGTCGTGGATAAGGTATTTCACTGGAAAGAACTAATTAACAATAATAACTCGAAATTATAAATATTGGGCGCCAGGCATGAACAGAGAAAGAAAACACAGTTGTTTATTACTTAAAACTAGTGACTATATTCATTCATGATGTATTCTGATGGTAAATAGCATTGTACAATTTTAATAATTATTATAGTGGTTATATGTCGAGTAAAGCTATGTATGTAAATAATATTAAATATGTTCTATGAAAAGACTATGAAAAAATACAATGCGTGTAACGTTATAGAAAATATAAGAAAGGTAGCATTACTTTATTTAAATTGTTAAATTTTATGCGGTGTTAAATCTGATATGTTGCAACCTGTAGATTCTAGAATCTATGTCTCGTTATTCATCTGTTAATATAGCGCAATAATAATATCTGTAGAAAGTAATACTATTACAAGGCGTAATGTAATGAAACCTAAAATCTAAATCATATTGTAACTACTAAATCGACATAAATGTTCTTAATAATCTAACCACTAAATATAGTCTGTGCGATATTATTCAAAATGTACATTAAGTTAAGACTGAAAATCGACTGAAAACCAGAACCTAAATCTACACTTAGCTGTTCTTGAGGCAATCCTGTTTCAAAGAGTAGCAGCGTGAGGTGGGCTCATATCTCTGTACTGTCTGTCGGCGATCCTGTTGGCCAAAACAACAAAAGGGGCCAGAATGAGAACACCATGAATCAATACAGCCGTAGCTACTGACTAGGCTTAGAAATGGGAGCGAACCAGCATGGGGCTTACGCTGTATCCATACTGTGGCAATATGGGGACACTACCCGTACCTTGGAACACTACTAGGACCTTGGATAATGTCCGTAACCTGGACCATAACCTTGGACACAGTCCGTCCATAAGACCCTAAAAATACCAAACTCTTGTTTAAAATCAAACAAGGTCTAATAAACAAAATGAACCTACCTCGAATTACTTCCGAGGGCTCGCTAAATAATAAAGAACCTGTCTTTTCTTCCATGTGACATTCTGGAGGACAAAAGAAAAGGGACGCCAACGTGCCAGCAAAATACAAATACAAGTTAGGTTGGGGCATCCGTAACTCTACCCTAAAAATACGCAGTAATAATAACGAATCAAAAAAGATAATATCTCATTTTTACCTGTAACTTCGAAATAGCAGCTGATTCAAATTATACAGCAAGATTTTTATAATTGCAGTTTCTCGAAGCAAGGATTTTTTGATGGTGACAGTAGGACGTTCAAAACATATACACAAGAAGAAGTGCCTTGCTAAATATTGGAAAGTGAAATTGACGTTTAAATTTGACACTGTTGACAAGTCTACTGCTACTAGCGCCCCCAATTTCGCTTGTAGGAACTACGGACTAGATTGTCACGCATGGCGGGAAGTTTAAAAAAATAAAAAAAAATAATTCTTCGTTTATTTTTAATTATGACATACATAAAAACACAAAAAATACACCATTTTTCAAAAATATGTTTAATATCAATATTAAATATACAGCAGAAATTAATTTCACCACAATAAATTAATAAAATTAAAAGAATAATGTTACAAGTAGATCAAAAGACAAAATTAATTATAACAAATCTGAAAAAAATGGCGTCATAGATGGTTAAGAAATGAAGATATATATCATAATTTTGAAAGTAAAATTATATGGGAAATGTCATCGATCATCATTTTTAAGTCAACTGGACGATTATTTCAAACATACAAGCTGAGTTCGTTCATAGTGCTCTGCGAAATCTAGATAAACAAAGTATAATAAATTAAAAGTATTCCAGGGGAAACGAGAGGAAAAACCTGTATCGTCTCTGATATCTGTCAGGGTATTGTTGAAAGTGTCATCTTTTTGCTCGAAGTTTTCAGGTCGATCAAAAAGATGACATTTACAACAATACTTTGCCGTAACTTTCACAAATATCAGAGAGAGTACAGGTATTGCCTCTCTTTTCCTCTGGGATACTTTATATCTGTTGTTCTTTGTTTATCTATATTTCTCGAGTGCCGACAGTATATAATTTCAGTATCCTAAGTGGAAAGAAAAAAGGTCACCTTTCTGTTTTGTACTATGGTTCCTTTCTTCCGATGGCTCATCTCGTTGATATTTAGGAAGGTATGCATAAAATATATATTTTACTATCGGTCCTGGGATGAAAAAATATAAAATTCAATTTGATTTGATGATCCTTTTCTGTCACCTAAATCAGGAGAATGACAATGAGCATGTTAAGATGAAAAAAAATTATTTATCAACACTTACCTACACGTTAGTTCGAGAAGTTTTATCAAAAACCTATATTTGCCTGAATAATTTATGTATTAAATTTGCAAAGCAAACTGCAGCTTGTAAACAAAAGAAAGAAAAGTGGTGTTCGAATAACAAATTATGGGTCACTAAAAATTGTTTTTGTCTCCTTTCAACGCACACTTTAGAAAGAAAAAGAGATGAACTGTAATACTGAAAGAACGTCAAGGTTTTATCTGTCACTCTTGTCAATAATTTATCGGTAAGGAAGATTCCTAGAAAATCGCTAGTAGTCAAGTTTTCAACCATTGCCAGTTCTCCCCTAAGAAGTGTCATCCACCTGGTAGGACGGTCAAAGCCAAGTGAAGTTAAGCACGGAGAGAGTTGACAGAAGCGATGTTGACAGCGCCTTCACAGAGCGATAACAGGGTTGTATCAAACGATAACAGGGTTTTGGACTAGAGAACGTAAAAATTACGCCAAGCGCGTCAAATAAATTATCCGGCCTGAACGATAGGGAATCCGGTGATGATACGCCAGACATCATATATCATAATCAAACACATGTAACGAAGTAAAAACGTTACAATAGAATAATAAATACATATATTATATTTTTTATTAAACTATGTAGTTGTAGGTAAATTAAATAAAAGTAAACTGGTATTTAAATAAAATCCATAAACTAATTTCGATTTTGAAAATAGCTATTATCACTAGCGATGGGAACTATCGAATGAATTAGACTATCGAATGGTTACTGAATGAATGATTTCAACTGTCGAATGGTTTTATTCGAATAAAATCATTCATTCATTTGTATACTAAAGCATATGTGACAACCTCGCCGTGGGACTAAATGGTTATCGTTGAGCCACGACTATCGAATGCTGTTGATAAATGAAATTTAGAATTTAGTATTCGTTTGATTTTTGTGTGCGTCAGTGCATTATTAGTTCTTCCAAATTTTTATAGCTACGACGTATAAATAGTGTGCTATTTTTTGGCGTTTATTAAAATATTTAAAATACTAAAATAGTAGTTTTTTTAATTGACGATTGTGTGCGTGTGGAGGTGGTCAAAATTTTTCCGAAAATTTGTGTGATTTTCCGTAGCCCGATCTTTCAATTATTTAATTTTATATGGTATATGGTCTATTTTTTATTGGGTAATTTTGAGAAGTAGCAATTTTAAGAGAGATGAGATGAACTTACAATTAATTTTAAAAATACATATTTGTATTTTAGATGTTTTAATTTTTAATAATATGAATTAGTTGAACTTAATAATCATATTTAAGTAATGTGGTTAAGTAAATGATTATCGAACTCAAACTATGGGGTGAGAAAATTAAATTGAAAGTTTTACACGTGCCAATTAAAAAAAAAGTTAACGATGTTTGTATTTTGTTTATGCTAATTCTCTTACATGTAGTTTTTGCGAAGAAATATTTCATTTATTTTTAAAGTAAATGCCAGTAAACGTAAATATATTATTTTTAAATAGTAATATAAAGCACCTAATATAAATAATTTTGATTTCTAATTTTTTATTTATA